TTATTGAAAATTTTATTAAATAAATATGTGTTTACAGGTTAACTGTTCCAGTAGCCTGTATATTGGCGGTTGCCATCGTCATGCCTCTTTTTGGAGACGGACCCCATTGGTACAAAATTATTCGCGAAGCAAAGAACTTGGAGAGAAATTGGTGGACGTTTATCCTTCATATACACATTTTTCTAGATTTCGGATCCAAACCACACGTAAGATTTTTTTCTTACAAATTATAATTACTCTTATATTTACTTAACGACTGTGTATTATACTTAAACCTCTCGCTTAAAAATGAAGTGTTTAATGCTGAAGTATTTTGATTTTAAAACATTACTAATTAAGGTTTTCAGAAACGCGCAGTTTCTATCTAAAGGGCATTATGGATTTTTGTATACTTGGTTCAGTTTACGTTGATTTAGCTTTCTTAACACTCAAACGTCTCTTCATTCTTCGAATAAGTAATACAACAAACATTATTATATTTATTATTTTTCAGAAATAAAGAAAACACCATAAGCGCGTATACATGTTTCAATGTCTGACAAGAAATTTTTAAAATATACTGACAAAATGAAGGTTTTAATGTATTGTGAAAACACAATAAATTTTTTACACTCTCAGAATATAATGCTATAAGTTTTTAAATGTAAGAAATGGCCTAATTTATTATACTGTAGATGCTTCGAAATTAATCTGCACTTGTCGTTGCGGTGATGAAATTCAAATGACATTTTCTTAAGCGTACCATATATTAGTCGAGTTTGCCGGAAATTATTATTTCGTAAGTACGTATGTGTTTTATTTTGAATAAAGTCTAATTACTTATTGTTATTCTGTATATAGTTAAAATATTCTTTATTGAAAATATCTGTATTACACTTCCTCTCCTATATATTTGACATTCCACACAGATGGCAATTTATTGGATACCTTCTTTGTGGTAATAAACAGCAAGTCATGGGGCAATTAATTTTCAGCCCAATCATTATCTGCTATAACTTTAACGCAAAGTGACATTTGTGGCCCTGTTGAAGACTCTATGATATCCATATGTGACCGAAGGGTCGGCACCTCTTTGGTGCCCTGTCAGGATGACACCACCGCGTCTCGATGGACACGGAAGCCGCGTTATTTAGGTCACGCGAGCGATCGCGTAACGGAGCGATCAGAGTCGAGATAAAAGGAGACAACGCACCGGAAGTGATTTACTCAGACGCTTTTTTAACGTAACAACTGTTTAATGGTTAACGATAGGATATACATTAGTGCTGCTGTTTAGATACATTAGGGCTGCTATTAGATACATTGCTCGCTTTAGTATATAATAATATTAAGATATTACGTTTCTTCCCGTTTTGAGAGAGAGAGTTTACAGAAGTTCGCGTGTCGATAGTTACCTTTTTTGAAAGCTTGATCTCGATCCCCGTCGGTAAGACAGAAAGTTCGGGAAGTCTAATAATCCAATAGTTCTTTTTCTTTGATATTAGGTGATTCTTGATATTAGGCGATTCTTGATATTAGACTATTTTTTGGATATTGGTCACAAACGAAGAGGTATGTATCCCAAGGAGCACAGATTTTTCGTAGACGTAATCCCAAGGAAGAACTGGCGACGACTGACTAACTTTGTTGTTCTTCCTTAATGTCGAATTGTTAAAATCGCTATACTGGGTCGAAAGGTGATGAGAAAGCGTCGTTATTACGCCTGAGAACTTAGCAGATATTTAGCTCCCAGGTGTAAAAGTTGACAGTTATTGAACAAGAGTATAGCTGTACTGTGATCTTATGACACCGTGAAATGAAAGTAGGACTACGATGTGATATTATGCTGAGATGATATAAACACATCCGAATTCGGATCCTCACACATATACTCTCTGTGAATTCATGGCGGAACACGACCTAGGTCTTTGAATAGTAATGAGTTGTTCACATTCTTGACTGATGCTGGGAAAAGTTGGATGGATGTCTGTCTTCGCATTTGTGAGAAGCTGCGGGCGATGCGTCTAACACTCGAATCACCTTTTTTCTAGCTAGTTTCTCTTACTTTGTCACTGGATGGATTAAGTAGGTCGGGGATAGGAAAATCATAAAATTACCTCTCCTGTCAGGTCCTGACACCAATTAGGATTAATTTATTTCCTGTCTTAACTCGCATTAAATAATAACGATGCGTATTAGGAGTGTTGTATCGAGTGGAGAGTTTACGACTCCCCACTGTCCGTCGATAGGGGTCTTCGAAAGAATTCGATTCGAAACCAATTAAACAAAACAACACGATTAATATTAAAAAAGAACAACACAATAAGACTACATGTAGGGGGAGATAACATATTTACCGGCTATGATATCGAAGGAAATCGAATATCTAACTACTTATACCTCTCTCTAATTACCGAAAGTTTACGTAAACGGTAGGCATTAAACCACTTAAATGGTCAGTTGTCTTCAATATATTCGAGGTGATGTCTTTCAGAGTGGAGACAGAGGAGGACTGGAGAAAGCTGGCAGACGGGATCTGAACCCATTAGCTTCTAGGGGAGTGTCAGATTTCTGTCCATTTTATCCCAGAATCTTCTCCAATCGGGTGTCTCCTTTTTGTTCGCCTGATAGGAATTAGTGATGACTCAAACTAACAGATGTTCATCAAAATGTGCCATAACATCTCTTCCCGAGAAGGTGATAGACAAAAGGAAGTTTTATTTTCCTTCTTTTCATCAATTTTCCATGAAAATGAATGATTTGTCGTTTCTAACAAAAATAATATTTTATTTCTATAAATTATTAAATAAAGTTGGAAAAATTTTTCAAATTTATGAAAAGGCGCATATTTCACCTCTCCAGGTTCTCGCACATTCGACTTTCTATGCAGATTAACCACAACTAACACCATGGATCAGGTTTTCGTCAAGTGGTCACAATTACATGTTGGTGGAGATTAACAACACTCACACTCAGAGCAGTATTAGTATTAAAAACAGGAACAACTAGGACCTTTTCGGGGTTCTTCTAAAAACATATTAGAAATCTTAATCCCTTATTGATATTAATGACCCTAGTGAAATTGACAACCAAATCAGGAGGCTTAATATTTCCATACACCTCTCTTAATACGTGGCTATCAAGGTTAAGGCAAAGAAACACAAAGTACCTTGGTGGAACACTAAACTGGAAAAGAGGAAGACAATCCGAAAATGTTAAATAAAGTTCAGAAGAGAAACTGATCTTATGAGGATGCAGAGACTTCGGCTCTTTTTTACCTAGAAAATTTTAGGCAGTATAAGACCTCCATTAATAAAGCAAGATTCAGCTCTTGGAGGAAGTTCTGTATCTCTGATGGTGGTTAGCAGCCTTTGTTGATTCCTTACTACTAAGCTATGAATAAATTGAAGAGGCATTTATTCCATCCACTATCCAGGTACACGATAACCAGTTTATCAAGTTTATCAAGGAAACGTAGAACTACATCTTTTCAGAACTCTTCCCTGCGGATGATTTTCAAAATGATTTTCAAAAATAAATGGAACATCAAGAAGTCTACCCAAAGCACCATTGATATTCCCACCGTTCACTTACAACGAAATTCAGAATGAATTTCATACTATTAACCACTTTTGTTTCAAATGCAAACGACTTCAGTATTATTACTGCTTATAACAACCAAGAATGGGGTATACGTATTTTTTTAAACGGGTAACGTACATATTGTGCAATTGTAAACAATATAAAAACTTTTTCTATAATATTTTCTACAATTGTAAATTATCTTTTGTAATTAAGTAAGTATAAATATATTAACTGATTAAACAAAACGTAGATTTTTTAAGAATCATTTTTATTTTTAATAAATTTATATACAAATAGAATAATTATTTTTAACTTTTACATTTATATACACTTATAAATACCTCATTCTGGTATTTATTTCAGATGCNTGTTATGTTTTATTAATTATTTACACATATAATTAGTACCAAATTCATGCATATTCATGTCAAACTAATATGAATATATACCGGGTAAACAAAAATTAATTTTATTAAATAAAAGCTAAGATTTAAGAGAGATAAGTAATTATAAAATTGCAATAATAATTTGCGATATATAATATATGAAAACGTGTTTACAGTAACTCAAAGTCACATCATATGAATTATTTGATTTAAATATTTTATTAAATTCAATCGAATAAATGAAAGAAACATTAATTTTTCATGCACCTCATTTACATACACAACAGTAAAATGTATAACTATAGAGTGACTCAATTAAAACAATTAATTTTTTTAGAAATAAAATTAAAATCATTTAAATAAATTAAATAATATAATATTATTGTACTTTTATCATATTTCCAACAACATTTTAAAATAAAACATATTCTAAACTCAATTTCCTGTAGAATATTTATTATATTAAATTTTTTTTTTTTTTAACTTTTGATAAATGTAATATTTGATATATATCAAAATATTTTCAATTCATCGTTCGTTTGATATTCATTAATGTGCATTGATTGATAATTAGATTCACCTCTTAATAAATGTAATTATGAATATTTAAATATTTATATCATAATTTTTGAATGTTTCTAAATGTTATTACTTCATAGATTCAATTATAGAGTTTTTATGATTTCTTTTGGCGATTTCCTATTTTTATTTTTCTTTTATGTTCTATTTATGTGGTACCAGTTAAATATCAATGCCTCTGGCTATTTTCAATGAAGTAATATATAATGTACAATATAATGTACAAAAATATACTTATTTTATAAGTTACATTTATAAGAATTATTCAAGAGCTATTTGATGAAATGCAAACTAGACAGAAATTCTTAATCCTATTCTAAAAATCATATTAGAAAGTTTTTGTAAAGATTTATATGCAGAGATTACTTCACACAATTTATTAAAAATAAATAAATACATTTATATAAATTAAGCTTTACGTCATCGGAATGACTCTAAAGTATACTGTTCAATATTACACAGTCGAGAATAATAATTTTCACAATACTCATAGATATGGAAATTACAAATAACTTATATTTAAACTCAATTAAATAATGTTAATGATGTTAAACGTATTAATATTAGAAGAAATGGTGAAAAAGGTATCTGTGTATGTTACTATTTTTAAATTGTTTATTAATTGCTGCAAAAGTGCTGTTACTAGTGAAGCTCGATCTACTGCAGTACGGAAATAAAGTTAGAACTACGAAAAATATATTTTATATCGGATATAATTTTAAAAAAACGTGTAATAAAATATTTTATTTTTTTAACACTGGTAGACTTTTTGAAACCTTAGTATATTTTTTATTTTTTGGTAAATTTAAAACTCGGAATTGCGAGTATTAGTTGTTCATTCTCCGGAAATATTTAACTTCAAAATTTAGCGACTAGAACACCATTTGACGAAGGTGCTTCTTTCATATGCATGTAACCAACGTCTTCTATTTTCGGTTATGAAAGGAGTCTCTGAACGTTTTTCACAGTTTTTCGACAGGAAAAACGAAATGGTGACGATCTGCCTGGTGAAATGTTGCTTATTAAAACCCTTCTATGGACGAAACAATTATCGATAACTATGAGTGATAACTATCGAGGTTCAAGATATTTCTTTTATTTTTCAAGATGTTTCGTACAATTAAATTAATATGCCTCAATGTTCTTAATTTATTCAAATATTATTTCATTCGCTAGTACAGTGTGTATTTCTATTAATAGGACTTATTAAACTGGCATTTAAGATTACTGCAACTCAGTCACACAGATTAAAATTGTTTTATTTACATTTACCAGGTAAATGTAAATAAAACAATTTTAATAAAACAACTGGTGAATGAAATAATATTTGAATGTTTTGTACAAATTGCGTTTAATACATAAACGTGTATATTAACGACACAAACTCATTAATTAATATTAATCTGGTCAAATTTAAATGATTCGAAATTTTTCAGATGGCCAAAACTGGGATTTGCTGGGTTATTCGCCTATATATTTGGAGGATTAGCATTATATATTACCAATATATTTTTCCATGAATGTTATGGAATTTTCTCTAAACAAATTAACTCTAGGTATGTATTATTTTAATAAACAAAAATCATTAAGAGACATTTGCAACTACATTTTTTCCACGTTTCTGTCTTATCTAATTTACTCAATTTTCTCTTCGATTATATTTAGTACGGAATGAGCAAAACTTCAATATTTTTATAGTAAACGTTTGACGTATTCTGAATTAAATACCTTTTTTACGTTATTGATGTTAAAATGTAATTTAAATTTTTAAAATCATCGCATTGCTCACATTTCGAATACATGTAAAGACGTTATCAGTTTTCATTAAGCATATAAATTTCAAATAGGTTCAAACGTCCTTACTTGTGCAGTTATAGTGATGCCGTAACCTGAGCCACATTCCTACTGATTTTGTATGTATCAGAGATGTTGAAAAGAATAACTAAGAAATATAGTATAATCCAAATATTTCTCAGAAGAAGTGATTAAGAAATTAAGGAAAATTACTAATTAAAATACAGATAAAATGATAAATTTACATGTTGAAAATATGTCAATTAGAATCGATTGAATATTAATTAATAACTCATCCTAGACTGCAATTTCTTACTAAGTAAAACACGCTCAGGAAAACCTTTAAATATGCAGCCGTATTTATTAAATTCTAACGTTTTCGGTCATATTCAATGACCTTTCTCAAGAAAAACAGAAAAAATCGAACTCCGAACTTGAATTAACGATACAAGCGTTTTGGAACGTTTTTTAAAAAATAATATTCTACTGGAATAACGCCATCTCTATATAACGGTTGTCATTATATAAATACATTAGCTATTAGAACGTTAAAAATATGACGTTCCGGATATAAAATAAAAATAAAAATAAAATACAGACATAAAATACCAAACATACACAATGTGTTTAGCAAATACATTAAATTAAGAATTTCTGCCCTTAAGTAAGTTGCCGCTGTCCATCGTTCTTGACTTTATAATATACTTGCTCGCCAGGCTGCCGATACTTTGCTTGAATCTCGGAAGTTGATAGCTAATCCTTTTTGGCTTGCTTTGCAGATATGCCAGGCTTCAGCGTACCGGAGGTGCTTTTTGTCGCGAACTATTTGTATCAATCTGGCTCGGTCCCATTCAGCTTTGACCTCTTGAGGGTCAGCTAAGANCAAAGCAAGCCAAAAAGGATTAGCTATCAACTTCCGAGATTCAAGCAAAGTATCGGCAGCCTGGCGAGCAAGTATATTATAAAGTCAAGAACGATGGACAGCGGCAACTTACTTAAGGGCAGAAATTCTTAATTTAATGTATTTGCTAAACACATTGTGTATGTTTGGTATTTTATGTCTGTATTTTATTTTTATTTTTATTTTATATCCGGAACGTCATATTTTTAACGTTCTAATAGCTAATGTATTTATATAATGACAACCGTTATATAGAGATGGCGTTATTCCAGTAGAATATTATTTTTTAAAAAACGTTCCAAAACGCTTGTATCGTTAATTCAAGTTCGGAGTTCGATTTTTTCTGTTTTTCTTGAGAAAGGTCATTGAATATGACCGAAAACGTTAGAATTTAATAAATACGGCTGCATATTTAAAGGTTTTCCTGAGCGTGTTTTACATATTAATTAATGGAAAACAGCTTGAAACTTTTCATTTAGAAATGGAAATAGTAAAAACAATAAATTAAAACAACATGGATTTAGATCTAGAATCCTAGTTATTGTACAGGAATAAGAAGTCCAGTATTAAATAAAATGATTCAAAAACAGTTAGCAACAATACGTCTACAGTACACCAAATCATCACGAAACGGCTATCTACTACCTGCTCCGTGGCAATAAATATAAGCGCACCCCATTGTGATTGTTATATTCGGTATGAATATTGAACTCATTTGCATTGAAACTAGAGTTGTTAAATAAAAAAGTACTACAACTTTGATGTAGAGAAAATGTTGGTTCAATCACCGTAACAGGTGTCTAACAGGTTCACACTTCCTGAAGAACCGTCTTCAGCTGATGTTTTTCTTCAAGGCTCGCTTTTTTGCACCTCTTTCTTGAGGATACGTGAAAGATCTTCGAAAGGGTTTAGAACCCGGTCTAGCACTAGGACTCGATTTTGCCGAGTCCAAACACTAGTGGATGCGTAGTATGAGATTTGGCGAGTCGTCCTGAAAGTTTGCATCTCTCTGTGACCGAAGATCGAATTTGTAAGGCAGTAAGTGCTGTTGCAAATTTTCCCATAGCATTGCGCATTGAGTTCTTCGTATGACTCGGTGGATAACTTTGCGTCAAATATTTCCATATAAGACCGGAAAGAGCGACTCGTAAGAGCAAATCGCTTTCCTCCATTAAGTTTCCGTCCAGACAACGCTTCCTTGCCTTTGAAAAACTGGCATAGATACATGCTTTCGCTTGATCTTGTACCGGTACGTACCGTAACGCAAATCATGTGAGCTATAATCCTACCAGTTTGTCGACATACCGGTTAGTCTATACGTTCGCGTCACTGTTGTACAGCATTCAAGAACGTATCAGGTCGTTATTTTTTGAAAGCCGACACAAAATTCGATCTTCTCACACCAGTCGTTGGCAATCTGCCATATTAGCATGCAGGCGCGATTAAACCAGTTTCTTCGTAGTGTCTGAAGAAGGTTCTGAAAGTGGACTCGTCTAAACACAATTCGCGATCAATCTGTCATAGAGCTGTTCCATTTTGTCGTTTTTGCAGGATCTTATAGCTTCTTGCAGCCCTTGCCTTTGTCTTTCCAGTTTTCGCATTTTGAGCAATGCAGAGATACACAAGATTTTAAGATTATCTTTGTTTACTCAATTTCAACGGTGCATTCGCAAATCAACAAAAAGCTTGCTTTCCAGTCAAGTGAAGTCTGGCGAATGTAGGTAGGGCGTGAATTTATTGCCTGCGTTTTTCTCGGAGTGACGTTTTCAGTTTTATGTGATGACGCCTATTATAGTGAATGAGCCAATTTACTGTTGTAAACGGAAACTCAAGTAGAGCACTTCCTTTATTAAACGAGTTTCGTTTCAACTGTAAAGACAGGTAGTTTTGTTACTGTTTATAACAATCGCGAATGGGATGCACGTATTTACACGGGAAAGGTATTTAGAGTTGCAAAAGAGATAGAAATAAAATGAATACATTACAAAATCAGAAACATAACGTAAAACCAATATTGTAAGAATGTTATTTTTTTGCAACGTACGTGAAAGGAAATTTGTACTTAATTACTTTTAATCTAGTTAAAAGTATATTTTGTAGAAAGCAATGTAAGTAGTCATAGAATTTGGTAATATTTTAAGAAGTCTTATAATATTACCAAATAAAATTTATGTAATGATTTCTTTGATAATTGTCATTTAGTAACACATAGAACATTCTTTTGTATACATAGCAGCGAAATACATGCACAATTACACAATTTAGCTAATAACACACGTACAGTACTGGCATTTTTTTCAGTTACAGTGTATTTTCTTTTTCGAAGCATACTCTGAAACAAATGTCATGCACGATGCAGGCAGATGTTTCCTTTCTAATCCTTCGATTTGTTTGGTTGTTTTTTGTTTAGTTATGGCAACGCAACACTTGGGCGATCTGCCTAGTGGGATGCTTTTTGGGAGGTTTTTTTTTTAATTTAAGGGTAACTGGCCAATATTCAGGCGTTACCCTTAAATCCTTAAAAGTTACATATCCTTTCGTGGAATGTTCCTTTTGCAGAATCATCTCCACGTGCTTTCAATAATATTTCTGTATTCGGGTACGATGCATGACTACAAGCATGGATCGCCACGTTCTTTTGTGCTTGTAATGGACACTTCTAACATTTCACAGCCCCAGGTATCAGAACAGTCATACAAAAACATTTGCACTTGCGTCGAATACCTACCACAAATTTGTCAAATCGGAGTTCGAGGACTTCTGTCTGATCATGTGTTTTCTGACAATTTTCTGTCAGAAATATTCAATTCGTTTTATGTTTGAATTTAAGCATTTTAAAAGTAATTTTTATAAACTTCTGGTTTATAAAAATTACTAAATGACTAATATATTGAAATAAATGACTTAAATGTATTCTTTTACAGATTGAGTTATAAGAAAAATAACTTTTGATCTAATGTTAAAGCATTGTATCATCTATCTTTTGTAGAGTACAAAACATGTTCTTAATTAATCACACACAAATGTGAGATTTATCATGATCATATGAATTTACGATAGGAACTCGATCACACTAAACTCTTTAAAACAAAAGAACCAGTTGTAATTTCTTTCAATTGACATGCTTAGAAATGATTTTTTTGTTTCATAGAACTATATTTGAAAATTTACAGGCTAAACACTGTATAATACCGTAAATATTGTATTCTATTGTTAATATATGAAAAATTGTATAAACTAGTATATCACCATTGTTTCATACCTAGCAAAATTCAGAAGTATATGAAAATTTATAATAAACCTTACTACAGTCATCTGAGTATATATTCTTTCGGACTGCTTGTTGGAATCATTCTAAATTCAAAAACTGTGAAGATCAAAAAAGTAAGTGAAGTCTTTCATTTATTCTGATAAATAAAATTTACGGGATGACGCATACTTACAGTTTTATTCTTAATCAAAGATATGAAATTTAGTAATGTGTGCTTATATGTATTTCAGACAATTTTAATTTCTGGATGGTGTGTTTCCATAGTTTTGATGTCGATCGTGATCTTCCTTCCTTATCCATATATCAACCAGATTCAGCCATATCAAAAAGATATGATGATACTTCAATCTGTTCTTCCATTTTTATGGGCATTAGGCATAGCCTGGGTGTGTGTAATGTGCACGACAGGATATGGAGGTAAGTTAATAATTTTAATAAAGATAAAATAATTTTTAAAATTATATCCAAGATTAATATTTAAATAATCTTTATATATACGAGAATAATCTAAAAAGTAAGGTCTCCTCTTTTTGGAAATATAAAGAAACGAATGTTATGTATTGAATAAGCCGGGGGTACAAATCTGTAGAAGGTGTACCACTTAATCGGCACAAAATCGCAAGATTCGATCTCTAAACTTTTTATAGGAGAGCGTTAATTTTAGCGAAAATAGGTGATCGTGTAATCACCCTTTTCCTCGTCAGGATTCCCGACACCAGTCAATCAATTTTATTCTACGTGGATTAACACGCGTGTTGAGATGATACAAAAATGAACCTATTACGATTCTGAATCAAACTGAGAGAGATTTCCCTTTTACAAATAAAACAAAGATTTAATGGAACAAAACAACAAAATTATACAAATAGAAAATTCAAATAAAGCTTTATGAGAGAGAGATCACACAATTTCTATTATAATCATACTCCCTCGGTGTCGGGATATAAAAATCGTCTGGCACTCAGTTTTCCCGCCTTTTTATGAACGACCGTTGTCGCCATAGAAACGGCAATCAGACCATTTTGAAAACTCGACCGCTCATTGGTTAAAAGACATCAGACCATCGGCGGACGTCTTATAAAGCTGGTAAATGCTGATTGGTGGAATCCAATGCTGTTTCAATCCTATAAAAGCATTGAAGTTCTGGCGGGAAGTTCAGTTCGGCTTCGGACATTGGAAGTGAACTCACGCTGACCTTAGTTCGCCTAAGCTGTCTTAGGAGATTGCCTCATCTTGTTGTGTTGTTGTGGACTTTGAATTTGTACGTCGCAAGGTGCTTTTCCGACGGACCTGTTGCAGTGGATAATTACTTTGAACTTTGTTAATATCTAATGTTTGTAATTCTTATATGTGAACTTTAATTGTAACTGTATATACGTTTATTTTCAATATACATTAAGTTTTAAAATTAACTGACTCTGAAGTATAATATTTGAAGTTGACTCTCGGTATAACACTATCTTCTTCTGTCTCTCAAATTTATTCTATAGTTCTTCCTTGAATATGTCTTGAATGGCGCATATTTAAATAATTTCTTCCATATTTACTGATTTAAACTCATTTTAGAGAAACTTCGGGATTCGACTTTGGGCGTTGGCCTTTAGGAAATGGTATGGAATACGTCTTTCTTCTTTCGGATTTCGTGGCGTACTCCTCGAATCATGCAAAATTCTTCCTCTTTCTCATGATTGTTCTCCAATCAGCATGTCGTATTTTCCCACGTGAACAGAGGAAAAGGGATTTATCGAGGGGTTGACAATTCCCAGGGTGACTAAGATTTTTAGTACATAAGAGAAAACAAAAGGATGTTTCAATTCCGTTGAAGGAAGTGGCGTTTTTCAGTTTCCTTTGTTTTAAAAAATATAATTTTCCCACCAAAATCAGAGAATATTTTTCGGCAAAAATTTAACTTTTTAATTAAATTATTAATTATTCGCAGAGGTAATTCAAATCTCAGTTACATCGAAAACTATATTATTTGGTTTTTTTCAGCCTACAGTTGTCATATTTATCGCGATACTAGGATAGTACGAAATGGCAGACTTTCAGTGGTCGAGTATCCAGGAATTGAAAATATGATACCTTAAATTTTTCCAGATATCATAATACTTCTAATGTTAGCTCTAACAAACTGTACAATTCACAGCGTAATAAAACAGTAATCTGCCAATCAATAAAGTTTCGGAAAAAATACCAAATATTTTAACTCGACATCCTGAAAAACCTTTTAAAACAAATTTTGTAATCGCTGTTAACCTCGTATTATGTAATATTTGAACGTAACCATATCCGATACAAATGCGAGTGTTGTGAAAGTACTATTTCTTGTATAATACTATAAATATTGTATTCTATTGTAAATATATGATAAATTGTATAATCTATCACCATGGTTTTATTTCTAGCAAAATTCAGAAGTATGAGGAAATTTATAATAAACCTTACTACAGTCATCTGAGTATATATTCTTTCGGACTGCTTGTTGGAATCATTCTAAATTCAAAAACTGTGAAGATCAAAAAAGTAAGTGAAGTCTTTCATTTATTCTGATAAATAAAATTTACGGGATGACGCATACTTACAGTTTTATTCTTAATCAAAGATATTATGAAATTTAGTAATGTGTGCTTATATGTATTTCAGACAATTTTAATTTCTGGATGGTGTGTTTCCATAGTTTTGATGTCGATCGTGATCTTCCTTCCTTATCCATATATCAACCAGATTCAGCCATATCAAAAAGATATGATGATACTTCAATCTGTTCTTCCATTTTTATGGGCATTAGGCATAGCCTGGGTGTGTGTAATGTGCACGACAGGATATGGAGGTAAGTTAATAATTTTAATAAAGATAAAATAATTTTTAAAATTATATCCAAGATTAATATTTAAATAATCTTTATATATACGAGAATAATCTAAAAAGTAAGGTCTCCTCTTTTTGGAAATATAAAGAAACGAATGTTATGTATTGAATAAGCCGGGGGTACAAATCTGTAGAAGGTGTACCACTTAATCGGCACAAAATCGCAAGATTCGATCTCTAAACTTTTTATAGGAGAGCGTTAATTTTAGCGAAAATAGGTGATCGTGTAATCACCCTTTTCCTCGTCAGGATTCCCGACACCAGTCAATCAATTTTATTCTACGTGGATTAACACGCGTGTTGAGATGATACAAAAATGAACCTATTACGATTCTGAATCAAACTGAGAGAGATTTCCCTTTTACAAATAAAACAAAGATTTAATGGAACAAAACAACAAAATTATACAAATAGAAAATTCAAATAAAGCTTTATGAGAGAGAGATCACACAATTTCTATTATAATCATACTCCCTCGGTGTCGGGATATAAAAATCGTCTGGCACTCAGTTTTCCCGCCTTTTTATGAACGACCGTTGTCGCCATAGAAACGGCAATCAGACCATTTTGAAAACTCGACCGCTCATTGGTTAAAAGACATCAGACCATCGGCGNGTTAAGATATTTATATCTGACATCATTTGTTAACTACAATTTACATTTCATATTTAAAGTACATTTCTAGAGAATAATAATGTTTTAAAGTGATTAATAAATTTGTAATAGAACTGCAAAACTAATCTTAATCCTTCGAATATAGGAAATAATATTTTATTTTTCTGACATGAAAATGGAGATATTTTAACATCAGAAAAATATTGCATTATTTTTTAAATAATTTCAAATAAATTTAGATGATAATTACAGTTCGATGTTGTTTTTTCTGCATTACAATGTAAGATAGAAAAAAGTTAAATCAAGTAATTCAATACTATTGTTATATGATACGCTTTTTCCTACATTTCTCTTCAGTTGGTATTTTCTCTCATTAATATTGTACATAACATACTTTCATTTACACTTAAAAAAACATTATTATTAACATTTATAAACTGACAGATATGAGCGTTAAAATCTGGTTTTACAGCTCTTTTTATACTCAACAACTTTAGATAAGTCTATTTCAAAATATCCATTTAAAATAACCGAAGATTTAAATGGCGAATGACAATATACAGCATTGAAAAAATAACTGAATTTGTATCGAATAGATAAATAGGCCTATCTAATTCGAGAATAAGAAGAAAAATAATATATATCAAACATTTAAATTCGATGCAAGAGACAGTATTTCAATTTGAAAAATCAAGTAAAAAGTATTAAACAAAAAAAAAATTATATCAATACAAATTAAAATAATAATATACTGTAAAAATATAAAATAATTTATATTGTTAATTTAAATAATAGCTAGGGGCGTCCCTAGTGGCCATTTTTGGCATACAGTGACAGAAAGAAAGAATCCGGTTTTTCAGCTTTATATAGTTAGATTATTAGAATTAGTTTAGATATTTGGTTATGACAATGCGAGGTATCAGCAATCTGCCGAGGAAATGTATCCCAAGAAGACTTTTTTGGTAAGCTGGACTCTGTTTAGATATTAATAACCTGGAAAAATCTGAATAACTTTACGTGGCCAGCCCGTCGGCCATGCTCGAACCAACAACTGACTAATGGTGTTCAGTGGTTTTATACATTCGGTTACTGGAGAGTACTTATTGGTTTACAATTTGAAAAAAAAACTGTAGAACTATAAATTTCCAGTCGTCTGTCTGTCTCTGATTTTCCTTAATCTCGAGAACGGAGTTAGATGAATGTCGAGACTAGACATGAAAATCATAAGAGGAAAGGACCAGACTAACAGTATATGAACTTCGGATTTTAACTGTAAGTCATGTCATTTCAATTCAAAACTTTTTCCCTGAATGGAGATAGATAAATAACTGACACGACTCTATTGTTAACAGGAAAAGTATTATGTACAGGAACAAAACACTATTATACTCCAGGCAGGCAAGTGCTAAGTGCTACCTGTCACAGTAAATGCATAATCTGTAAATTGAATAAACAGTAAATTGGTGCTATATCATTCTTGCAATAATTCGGTGAATATAATATAATATATATTTTTTAAAATTATATTCATTTTCGTTAAAATTATATTTAGTTTATAATTTTGTTACGTTTTTTTTTCAACAGATGTTTGATTGCTAGCTTTACACTATCTGTAAAGCTAGCAATCAAATGTAGAGATAAATTAATCGATATATAGAAAAAAATCGATAATTTGGGGTTGGATTAGCACATTTTCTACATTAAAAACATTTGAAACTTATTGCTGAGTTTCGTAGCAATAGGTCAAACGGCCTGGGCGTGCATGGCGAACAAACGAACATTTTCATTTAGGAATTTCCTCGTTTAGGAATTTATTTACTCATTATTCTCAATTGCCATATGTGAACATTAACAAAGTTAATTGCCATAACAAAGTCTATGCTTTGCAGAATTCAAAACGTTTTCCTTACTTATAATTTTGCTCATTTTTAAAATATGTTCTCATATTTTGTTCTTATTTACTGTGAATATGAACTATTGTTATTATCCATATACATATACATATAACTAACATTTGCTGAGTACTTTATGATATTATTGTTATTATCTTCTACATTAATTAAAGTGCATCTATTTGTAACAATCAGTTTTCTCTGTGATTTCTGGATTAAGATTATATTAAGCACGCCCTTGTGTTGCACATTTACATCATTAAAAGGTTTTTACGGAAATGTTAGATTCAAATTAAGCCATTTGAATTTATCATTTCCGTAAAATCTTTTAAATTTTACTTGAAACTTTACAATTGTTTTGAAAATAGTATTTTCCCTTCGACCGTCCCATCTTCTGACAAAAAATTATAATTTAACTTAGGAAATAATTCAAATATTCTAAAATTTACTTTATAATTGTCTTTCTGGTATAAACTATTTAAAAAATTAAAAATGATTTGTTTCAGGAATAGTAAATCGATTTTTAGCACTTAAACCGTTCGTGATATTGAATCGTATAATCGTTTGGATATATATGTTGCATTTGTTGGTAATCCTGTATGTGTTTGGAAAAGCAAGAAAAGCCCAAATGATATCGGATCTAAATATGGTAAAAGTATTAAAATTTTTACTTGTTTAAAACATTGGAAAAACAAGTATTGATATATGTTTGTTTATATTTTATTTGTAGTGGATGATGTTTTCATTTGTGATGTTAATCACATTAATNGAAAAGGAAGAATTGATAGACTCAAAAATTAATTTTTTGTAAATAGTCTGAACTTCTAATTATAATTTGGAAGAAAAATATCCTGAGTTCATCATGCGTTTTACCTCTCTAGTGTTGATATTTGAAAATGATACGTGTTCGATAGGTTTTGATGGCCCTTCACATAATCGAAGATACTAGCCTTAACGTCCGTAAAGCTTAATATAAAACTTGTTTAAATAAAATTATTTATTATGACATCGGGCTGAAATTTTTAATCATATTTTAAATATATTTAATTAAATTCAAAACATATGTTTTCCATCTCAAATTAGTAATGGTTTGCCTCTGTAGATCACACTTTTTTAACAAGAGAGTCGTGCCAGTCATCTATCTAACACATTTCGGGTGAAAAATGAAAAAATTGAAATAACGTGACTTACGATTTGTATCATAATTAATTAAAGACCTTATTTAGTTAGTCGGGGTCTTATGCTTCTACCGTTTCTATATCTCTGTCTGCCCTTTCTGCCCTTTCTTCTATATAACTTTGTTCTCGAGACTGAGGAGTAACAGATGACAGTGGAAATTTATAGGTCTACATTTTTTTTTAAATTGTAGCCCAAAAATCTTGTAATACTGTGAGAGTAATAGTTTTATGTGATAATAAAGTCATTATATTTTTGAAACAGATTGTATAAATTAGGTAGAAAGTACAGTACGTTCTCGAAAATATCGCCTTTACAGAAAAACAAGTCAAAAGGCCCGATGCCTTTTCTTTGTAATTTAGTATGCCCCGGGCATACTAAATTACAAATAAAAATAATAATATACTGTCTATTATACTGTAAAAATATAAAATAATTTATATGTTGTCAATTTAAATAATAGTGGCCGTTTTTGGCGTACAGTGACAGAAAGAAAGAATCCGGTTTTTCAGCTTTATATAGTTAGATTATTAGAATTAGTTTAGATATTTGGTTATGACAATGCGAGGTATCAGCAATCTGCCGAGGAAATGTATCCCAAGAAGACTTTTTTGGTAAGCTGGACTCTGTTTAGATATTAATAACCTGGAAAAATCTGAATAACTTTACGTGGCCAGCCCGTCGGCCATGCTCGAACCAACAACTGACTAATGGTGTTCAGTGGTTTTATACATTCGGTTACTGGAGAGTACTTATTGGTTTACAATTTGAAAAAAAAACTGTAGAACTATAAATTTCCAGTCGTCTGTCTGTCTCTGATTTTCCTTAATCTCGAGAACGGAGTTAGATGAATGTCGAGACTAGACATGAAAATCATAAGAGGAAAGGACCAGACTAACAGTATATGAACTTCGGATTTTAACTGTAAGTCATGTCATTTCAATTCAAAACTTTTTCCCTGAATGGAGATAGATAAATAACTGACACGACTCTATTGTTAACAGGAAAAGTATTATGTACAGGAACAAAACACTATTATACTCCAGGCAGGCAAGTGCTAAGTGCTACCTGTCACAGTAAATGCATAATCTGTAAATTGAATAAACAGTAAATTGGTGCTATATCATTCTTGCAATAATTCGGTGAATATAATATAATATATATTTTTTAAAATTATATTCATTTTCGTTAAAATTATATTTAGTTTATAATTTTGTTACGTTTTTTTTTCAACAGATGTTTGATTGCTAGCTTTACACTATCTGTAAAGCTAGCAATCAAATGTAGAGATAAATTAATCGATATATAGAAAAAAATCGATAATTTGGGGTTGGATTAGCACATTTTCTACATTAAAAACATTTGAAACTTATTGCTGAGTTTCGTAGCAATAGGTCAAACGGCCTGGGCGTGCATGGCGAACAAACGAACATTTTCATTTAGGAATTTCCTCGTTTAGGAATTTATTTACTCATTATTCTCAATTGCCATATGTGAACATTAACAAAGTTAATTGCCATAACAAAGTCTATGCTTTGCAGAATTCAAAACGTTTTCCTTACTTATAATTTTGCTCATTTTTAAAATATGTTCTCATATTTTGTTCTTATTTATTGTGAATATGAACTATTGTTATTATCCATATACATATACATATAACTAACATTTGCTGAGTACTTTATGATATTATTGTTATTATCTTCTACATTAATTAAAGTGCATCTATTTGTAACAATCAGTTTTCTCTGTGATTTCTGGATTAAGATTATATTAAGCACGCCCTTGTGTTGCACATTTACATCATTAAAAGGTTTTTACGGAAATGTTAGATTCAAATTAAGCCATTTGAATTTATCATTTCCGTAAAATCTTTTTAATTTTACTTGAAACTTTACAATTGTTTTGAAAATAGTATTTTCCCTTCGACCGTCCCATCTTCTGACAAAAAATTATAATTTAACTTAGGAAATAATTCAAATATTCTAAAATTTACTTTATAATTGTCTTTCTGGTATAAACTATTTAAAAAATTAAAAATGATTTGTTTCAGGAATAGTAAATCGATTTTTAGCACTTAAACCGTTCGTGATATTGAATCGTATAATCGTTTGGATATATATGTTGCATTTGTTGGTAATCCTGTATGTGTTTGGAAAAGCAAGAAAAGCCCAAATGATATCGGATCTAAATATGGTAAAAGTATTAAAATTTTTACTTGTTTAAAACATTGGAAAAACAAGTATTGATATATGTTTGTTTATATTTTATTTGTAGTGGATGATGTTTTCATTTGTGATGTTAATCACATTAATTGCTGCATTTCTATTCTACACATTCATCGAAGCACCCGTTTCTTACTTAATATCAAAAATGTTTGCAGTCTCAGTATCAATAATATCTCTGGTGGCCTCGCGGAAACGGAATGGCATCCACACACACAATACCAATTTGTAAACCATGCAGAAACAATGGATATGTAAAACAAAACACAACAAAAATTTTGAATATTGTGTCTTATACGATTATTATGACGACGAAATTTTCTATTTTAGTTTCATTCCTGTATTCCCATTCCACTTTGTGTTACATGCAGATATTTTATAGTGTTTGTTAATAGTAAAGTTGAAGAACAACAAAATAAACTCTTTATTTGGAGAATAAATATATATATTTTATTAATTAATTTTTTCGAATATTCGTTTTACATTTAGTAAAAATATTACTTCTCTTTTCTTTGCATGTGTATTTCCAAAACTTGCACACGTATTGTGAGATATTATTGATTCACTTTAACCACTTGGCATACGAGCTTTTCTAAAGGAATTTTTAATTAAACATAAAAAATACTTAAAACTGAAAAAAACGAAAAAAATGCGTTTATTTTGAAGAAAAAGCTTCGAAGTTTAAGTTTCTTAGTCTCGCCTTTCTGCGAATTTTAACACAGATGAGTCATTGTTTACACAGCTGGATGACCTTGAGAACAGCTGGAGTCGGATTTCCCGGGACATTTTCATAGAAGTCTCGGGAGGCGATGGGTTTATAGTAGGGTGAAATCGAAATTTGCATATATTTTTAAATATTTTTTTAAAAATTAAAAATTTTATTGCGATTTCCGACCCCCCTAATTAATTAAATTTATATAAAATAAAATCGATTAATTAAAAAAATTAAAAAACTATCGGAGGTCGTTTTTGACATCAGAAACTAGCTTTAAATAACTTTACCGAAGTCAAATACGTGCACTACAACTTAGGAACCATGAAATAAATTTGTTAAAAAAAAACTCCCATTAAAAAACAATTAAGCCTTAATTAAGCCTTATCAAAGGTTCATTAAAATCGCGATAAAATTTTTTCGCGCGGGCAAAAAATTTTGAAAAAATTTGGGAACTTAAAAAACATTCCAAAAATTGAAAAAAAAAAATTTTATCAAAAGTGGCCTTAACCACCGAATTTTATGTAACGCTATGTAATATGCCCGAGTTATCTCGGGACTGGATGAGATATTTACTTGTTGGATCTGCAAGTCACAATACGAGTGATAAAAGGCTATGTTATCACTCGATCCTCGTGGCTAATTTTGGAGTTTAACTTTGAATTCATACCTCGCGGTGATATTAAACTGATACTTTAATACAGTATTTACTATGAGAGCTGCATATCCTTGGATCTACCGATTCTATACTAATTAATTAATACTCTTGGCAAAAACGTTCTGTAAAACTTTTCACAATTTTTATGCTAAGTACAAATTATTATATAATGAATTCTCATTTAGTGAATAGTGTTTTTCAGAAGGCTTTATTACATTACATTTATTCGTAAAAAGTATTATATTACGTAATAATATAAATCATCGAGATTAGAAATCATTTTTGGACACATACGAGTGTATTGAAAAGATGAATTAATAAGAATTAACTGAGACATGCAATTCATCTTCTATTATTTATAAGCCTTGAAAAGCAAATGACACAATAATCTATATCTATATGTATATATAAAAACGGACGTTTGTGTCCCTATATTTCACTTTTCTGCAAAAACTACACATCCCACGTGAATGGTGTTTGTATGTGGTGGTAGCCCCAAGTCTCCATTCGTGCATAGTGAGTTTTTCTAAGTAATCTAGAATCTACCTTGCAGATAGATTCTAGATTACTTAGAAAAACAGTNGTTTAAAACATTGGAAAAACAAGTATTGATATATGTTTGTTTATATTTTATTTGTAGTGGATGATGTTTTCATTTGTGATGTTAATCACATTAATTGCTGCATTTCTATTCTACACATTCATCGAAGCACCCGTTTCTTACTTAATATCAAAAATGTTTGCAGTCTCAGTATCAATAATATCTCTGGTGGCCTCGCGGAAACGGAATGGCATCCACACACACAATACCAATTTGTAAACCATGCAGAAACAATGGATATGTAAAACAAAACACAACAAAAATTTTGAATATTGTGTCTTATACGATTATTATGACGACGAAATTTTCT